TTGATGACGTTACTAGTTCTTCTCCTAGTGAAAATCTAAATAGATAAATGGCAATTTCTGTCTGTCAAGTCTGTCTGTGTATCTGAAAACCATCGGGCAACACTCGCTCTATCGAAATATATTATACATTTTGGAATCAGGATTATGGCAAGATTGAAAATTTACCCCTCATCGGGTGCTTGAAAATCCAGCATTATTGTATGTGTCCGGGTGAGGAGAGAAAATATAAAAATTCAAATTTGAAAATGACTGAAAAACATTAGTGATTTTAAAAGTTTTTAATTTAGATTGAGTTTTTTATTTGTTTGTGTGTTTGTTTGTTTTTAAATTCATTTTAAAATATCTCCCAAACTTTCTGAATTGTGGAAATCATTTTTATTTCTTCAAAATATTAAGAAATCAGAGGTTTCGTAACGTGAGGTTTTGAAGTCAGCTGATTTTGTAATTTAAAAAAAAAATCAACTCAATTGAAGTTCCACGGAGTTTGTGATTTGAAAAACTCAATTTTCGGCCTGAATTGGAATTTCAGCGTAAATCGGACTTTCGGTCTCCTGCAGAGCTAGCTTAGAAGCCCGCACAGTGTGTGGCTTTTAAGCTAATTTCAAATAAAAGACAAATGGTAAAAGAATAATCCTGCAAAGTGTCGAACAATTTAAGCCATTATTTGAATATAGCATTTTAAAATATGCGGGATAAAATGCTACCGCTACTACAACTCCCAAATAACCTGTTTGTAGCAGGTTTAATGTTTAAGATCACGGTCAAGTCTCGTTAGAGTTCTCGTCGGATCAAGATAGTATCATTGAAGCTCGTTTCTATGTATGTTTAGAAGGATTGGCAGCTAAGGATCCCCGGATTCTGAAGACATCTCCGTCCGAATTTCCGGAATGAGGAATTATTATGATTTAAATTATTTACATGCAGACTATTGTCCTCATCTTTGTTGTTATTATCACAACGTTTCGACCGTTATGCTTTCTGGACTTCATCAGGTGATTCTTGATTTGGATAACCTTGAGGTAATTTCGAACTGAACCTTACGGATGAGATTGTTCTCGTCCTGCTGCCCATTTCGAGGGAAGATAACTCGGTTCGTTTCTATTTTGTACCGCTTATTTATTGCTCGACCTGGTAACATAGTAATTGTGAGTTCAATCCCTGGGAAAGGCAGTGTGCAATAAAAAAACGAAGATGAGTAAAATATTGAATAAAGAATTGAAACATTATTAAAATTATCAATATCTCTTTTTAAAAGTTGTGTTCCTTCAGAGAATAGAAGAACATGGCTCTCCACAACTTCCCATCCTTTGTAGCTCTGAGCATTGGTCGTCGCTTGGTAAGTATTTCAAAAAGATAACAGAAAATGTGAGACTAAAAGGCGAAGCCGCAATGCAATAGTGAAAGATGCCTTCCAAAATCTAAGCAAAGTATTAAGAAACAGGAAAATTTTGTGAGAAACAAAGAAACAAATAGTGAAATGTTATGTAATATCAATCCTCCTACAATATACTTACAGGTGAAGGATAAAAAGAGATAGTTGTACAGAATGATACTGAGAAAACTATGGATAAAGGGTGTAAGCAACAAGGAAGTTTCAAGGAAAATTGAACCAAAAAGGAAACTTATATTTAGAATCAGAAAGTGATAGTTAAATGTTCTGGGATGCAAGGAAAGAGGGTTTGGAGAATTTAACACTCACAAGAGAGACAAAATGAAAAATCGAGTAATTTTTCTAACGAGTTTGTGTAAATCGATGGCAGATTAGGGATGGGAGGGATCGTAAGAAAACAAAAATTGATTAATGCCACAATGGATAGGAAACTGTGGAGAGCCATATTCACGCACGTCCTGAAGGGACATGGCGCATAACAAGAATTGTATATCTTATGTGGAGAATTTTGCACTTTGCCTTCGCTAAATGGCAAATAAATATATATGATTTAAAGAATCTTCCATAAATCAATTTAGTTTTCAATATTCACTTGATTCCAGCAGTTGTGAAATGCGTTGTATCTAAAGCAGCCAAACGACGCCATCTTGCTTGCATTTTCGGAATATTGTTGAGTTGTACGTCCGCAGCTCACCAGAATTTATTGGTAAATCGTCTGGATATTGGGCGAAACCAAAACTAAATCGGTAAATAACTTCTCCCTTTTAAAAGTCCATTTTTTAAACATCGCTCTTTTTCCTTTTAAATGGTAAATAAATAGGCGCAAAATTTACTGCCCAAAAGGATTTCTCGAGAGGCCATTTTTTATTTTAAAGGTGTTATTTTTCAATTGGTGAGCAGAAAGGTAAATAATACAGGAAAAGAAAAACTTTGTTGGGAAAAGGAACGAATTGCATTCAAGGAAAAATAAGGGACCAAAAGAATTTCTAAGTGTGCAGCACTCTGCATATTTTTGGGGTAAGACGAAAAAATATTAAGAAAATAAGGTTGTTAAGGTGGCTCATTATATATATACGATTCGAAGAATCTTCCAGAAATCAATTTAGTTTTCAATATTCACTTCATTTCAGCAGTTGTGAAATGCGTCGTATCAAATATATATATATGGTTGCATGGATATTAGTTTGTATCCCCGGGTTTCACGCTTTCGTTTCTTCAGACAAACCTATATTGAACACTTCCCACTAAATACCACGTACACACACACACACACACACACAAAGATACGTAAGGGCAACTCGAGGTGGTGTAATGGTTAGCAAGCTTGGCTCGCTATCCCAATTACGACTGAGTAATGAGTTCGATTCTCACTAGGAGCCCCCTAATTTCGGCCTTGTGCCACATCTAAGCTACGCTTAGAAAATCACTATAAAGATAGACAAGACTGACACAGAAATAACTATAGACTTAGATACATGCATACACACATACATAAGAAATACTGTGAGAGATAAATCGATAGGTAAGTATTCACTTAGATAGATAGTTAAACGGACAGATATGAAAAGACTGTGACAAGTAGATCGCTGTAAAATCTAGTTTTATTAAAAATAAAAACACTCCATAAAAATTATGTTCCTAAAAATAATTCTATTTTAAACACGTTTATAAAAAAAAACTCTCTTCTGAATTTACGACTTATTAAAATCCAATATTAATATTTAGTTTCTACCAATAGTACCATTAATACCTCCAGTCCTTAAAATTGCGCGGTGAGCATTCAAGTTTTAATCTAAGCTTCGTAATGGTAATATTCATTTTAATATTTGATGTTTCCTAATAAGGAAACATGAAGCGATGATTTAATGTAAGCGTTTATTGGCCAAACATTCAATGCAACCATCATTTGAAATTCATAAAATCTTTCTCTTAAAACAATTTTTCATGAAAATAATTTTCTCGGGTTCACTGAGTGTTGTTAATTCTTTCTAATATATAAGGGGGTTTCTTTTCTAAGCTTTTCTTTGAAGTCGTGTGGAATGTCAACATTTTGATTATGTATTTACATGTCGATATCCATTTTAGTTGTTACTGCTGAAAGTCCTTAAGTGATGTGGTTTCTCTTATTTGTCACAGTTCTTTGTTTGTGATTCTGTAGCGCCAATCTACAGGGTTCGAAGAAGAATGATCCTTACTAAGACCTACAAGATCCACTGACTCGAAATTATGTTTAACTCTTGATCCGAGAAATCGCTTGTATACAGCTGCCAGTTGAGCTTTTCTTTGAGTTTTAACACCATTCATGACCGTCTCGATATGACGAGGCTATTTAAGTTTTTAGGTTAATGTTTAGGCTTTGTCAGAATTTGCTGTGTTGCGTGAGACTACTCATGACACAGACTATACTATGTTTAATTTGTCACCTATACTAAATTTCTTATAACTGATCCCTACACTGAGAAATGTTCAAATATATACGTTAAATACGTGATATTCATAAACTTTTTTCAATAAAAGTATTAATTAAAACGTATATTTTAATAAACTATTGTTAATTCCCTTGTATACGCTTTTCAATAAATTTTGTATGAAATTCTATATAATGTTATAAAATAATATATATATAATATATCTTAAATGTTTTAATGTGCGCGTAACTCACCTCACAAGAATAAAACATTAATATTTGACATCGCTTAAGTAAAATCTTACAAAATACCTTTTCTTTAAATATGAAGGCATAAAAAAATTTTTTGATTTGAAAACAAAGGAAAATCTTTGATGACTAAAATCGAAAAGAAAAAGACATGTTTTCTGTTGAAGGAACATTTCAAATGTTTATTGGTTCGTTTTGAGTCCGCATTGATTAGAATTCAAATTGGTTATGTTGAAATCGTCTAGGAGGGTCTATATTATTGCGAATGTCTTGTCAATATATTTGCCACCTACTTTCTACTTTTATGCATTTTTCTTCCTTTGTACGTTCTGAGAGTACGTAGAGGTTTGTTTACATTAAATTACAGCCGTGCAATTTGCGTGCGTGCAACAATGAAAGAGTTTGTTAAGTGAAGATATATTAGTTTGTGTCTGTTTTTCATATGTACAAATATGGGTACTGCGCGATTGTTAAGTGTTTGTGTGTGGTTGAACAATAGATATTTTTCTTTGTCAACCGCTGTACTTATTTCAGTGGGTGTATATGTGTATCAGTATCTATCGCTCTATCTATCTATCACTTGGTCTCTGTCTCTCTTTCTTCATATATATATATATATATATATATATATATGTGTGTGTGTGTGTGTGTGTGTGTGTGTGCATACATGTAGCTATAGTGACACGAAAAGGCACGCACACACACACATATATTCATACAAAGGTTACTTTTACTTTTCTACACGTTTTCTCTTTCCAGGCATTTGATGAAATCAGTAGAGATCTTGCGGGCATGTGTATGCTTCCTAATAGCCTCATATTGAAAACAAAGGAAGGAAGGAAGGAAGGAAGGAAGGAAGGAAATGGCAAATTAATGGTAGAATGAGAAAATGATGGAAAGAAAATAAAAAATAAAACAAGAAAAATAACGAAAAAAAAAGGGAAGTAGGAAGAATTATTTGGAAAGAAAGAAAGAAAGAAAGAAAGAAAGAAAGAAAGAAAGAAAGAAACTTTTACATGAGAGATAAAAATGATGGAAAGAAAAGAAAAAAAGAAAAAGAAAGAAAGAAAAAAAGAGAAAGAAAGAAAGAAAAAAGAGAAAGAAAGAAGACGATGAAGAAAGACAGAAAGGAAATCGGAAAGCAACGAAGGAAGAAAAAAAAAAGAATTCAGTGAATAAAAAATCTATGAACTTAAAGAGGCTCTGGTGTAAATATAATGATAGCCTTTTTAATATTTTTTTTTCAATATTTCATACGTAAATTTCTCTTGGCATTCTTACAAAGCTTTAAGTTCGTAATGTCAAAACTCGTAAGCCAAGTAAATAAATTAAATTTCAAAATGAAGTAGCATTCTCTATATTTACCTCTTTTTTTTTATTTATGCGAGAATCTATTTCTATAAACAAGTAAATATCTGCGTGTTTGTGTGCAAGTCATGTTTATGCATAAGTATATATCTGTATCTAATTCCATTAGAATCAAAGTAAAGAGTACAAAACCGTTATATATTATCAATCCTCCTATATGGCATTCGATGCTGCACATTCTCCACCAAGGTGAAGTAGAGACTTGAGGCAACAGAGATGTACTTCTATATGAAGAACGATGAGAATATTCCATGGATGGAACTCGTACTCGACGAGAAATTTTCAAGAAAAATGGCAACAAAAAGGCCTTTGTTATCGTTTGGCGCAATATTAACAATATAAGATCCATAAATGACACTGTGTTAGTGGCATACTCAGAAGAAAAACTACAAAACCTCGTTGACCATTTGTTAAAGGAAAGGGAGAAGGAATAGAGGAGAAAGTATGGTTGCCAACAAGAGAAGAATCCCAAAGTCCGAACTATGAATTAGAGATTTAAACATCAAACAATTACAGAATTTTAAATATCGGGGAAGAAATCCGAACGCGCATTTGAATAGCGAAAGATGCCTTCTAAAAGCTAAGCAAAGTAATAGGAAACAAAAAAAATCGTTAGAAACAAAGAAAAGATGGCTGAACTATCATGTCTGCATGTATGCCAGTGAATTCTGGACAATCTCCTCGCAGATACAAAGGAAACTGGAGACAACAGCAAAGTGTTTACGCAGAAAGTAGCCGGGAATATTATTAACGAACTGCATAAGTGTTGTGAGACCGTAACATACAACATGGACTCTTCCAGGACTATATAAAGTAAGCGATATAATACTCTAAGGAGAAAAGCAGGAAAGAGAGAGAGTATTCTAATACCGTAGTATCAGCTGCGTACGACTACCAATATTGGACACTAGCACATAGTAAGCTCCGCTTACACTTACACTATCTTTGTAACCTTTTTGTTTAGTATATCTTTCTTACCTCTAATCCGTGTTCCGTGTTTTCCTTCCGTGGTCCCAACTTTGGGCCCACATCATTAAGAAACTGAAAGTTTTAAGGAAATCAAACAGACACAGCTGAAATTTCTTTGGGACATAATGAGGAAGGAGGACTTGGAGAATTTGACACTCACAAGTGCTATACGCCATACATGCTTGGTCGACCTTGTCTCTTTCGATTCATAACTGACTAGGCAGAAGATATTCCCGCAGTAGGTTGCTGTTTCTTTTTGCTGTAGAATGGCTGCCAACCAAGTCTATAGGAGCAGCCTGTCTTGTTATTCAACCCATAGCTGGGAGGAGAAGAGAAAGATTATTACCTTTTTCAAGGGTATTAGTGCGTAAGTGAATATAACGAACCTGACTGGAATTCGAACTTGGCTCTCCGATTTAAACGAAGAAAAAGTGACAGGAAAGGTAACGGACTACCTGGCGTATTTTCGTGAATGAATGGCGGAACGGGGGTGGGATAGCTGGTTAAAAAAAAAAAAAAACAAGAAAAGTCTATTTTACCGGTTTTGGCAAAAGAGACCCCCCGTTTACTTTACCGGTAAATAATTTTTTTTATTATTATGAAGGCAGGTAATGTTAAAAATAACAACACACAGAGTTTATTTATTTATTTTCACCATCAACTGTGAAGACAATTTAAAATCTTTTCCACCATCAATTGCTAAAACACAAAATGAAATCATTTATTTATCATAAAACAAGCTTTACTAAGATTTACAAAGTTCCTAAATATTTTCAGTAATTCATTCATAACAGTCTGTGTAAATTCAAAACTTTCCCTTGGTTATAATTCTCTTGACAATACAATTCAGATGCACTCACTGAAGACAACAGTCACAGACTAAAGAATCCATGTCGTTTAAGTCTTTCCGACACAGTTCATACAACCTCTGCGCTGACAGCCTCAAATATAATATATTCTTATTTCTAAAACACTATTCATATTTACCGGCAACATACCCTATTCATAAGAAAAACAAACTTTACTAAGATTTACAAAGTATAGGATGTTGTGAGAGCCATGATCGTCCACGTATAGAAAGTAGACGGCACATACATGATCTGATATTATTATTCACCTGTTTTTTTTTCCTGAAATAAGAAACCCATTGATAATATATAATAAAAATAGAAACTCTATTGCATTGATTCAGCTACAAATAACGATTTATATGAAGAATTTCTCTCTGAATTTTCGGTGAAGAATACGTTATTGTTATTTACAATAGAATTAATATCTCTATCTTTGTTGTTATTATCAAAATTTTTCGGTCGTTGTGTTCTCCGTCAATTAAATAGTTGTTTCGTGAGTTTGGTGACATAGTAACTGTAAATACAATATATCCCTTGAAATGAACCCGGATCGATAGACACCTGACGAAGGGTGGAGAGTGCAACAGTCGAAACGTTGTGATAATATCAACAAAAACGAGTTAATCATTTGAAAACCTTTTTAAGGCTACTCGAGTTCATAATGTTAAATCGTTTCCGTCCTGGCAAAATAAAATCTCTCCAGGATTTTACAAGCTATTTTTGAATAAGGCGATTTTTTTCATTAGTTCACGTAGTAATATTATCTATTGCAACAGTGTGTCCGATTAGAAAATCACAAACAGATTTTGACACACAAAAACATTTACTAGTCAAATACATAGTCGCCATTGTTTTTAAAAACTGTCTCCCATCGTTCTCCAAGCTTGTCGATACCACTTCCGTAGAAACTTAGTAATTTGTGCTGGAAAATGAGTGTGACGTAGTTTTCGCCTAACTGTACAGAGTCAATTTTTTGTGATTTAACTTTTTCTGTAGACACCGGAACAAATGAAAATCTGAAGAATCTAATTCTGGAGAATACAGCGGGTACTGGAGGGATTTTCATTTCAACTGTTAAAGCTTCTGCGAGATTTGTTTTGCAATATGCGTTGTGGTGGAAAATGGCGGATTTTCCATTTGCGAGAATATTTTTTAATAGCCGTATTGACATTGGTGAGTTAGTCATAATACTTCTTTACAGCTATTATTTTGTCAGCCAGAAAAAAACTTGAAGTGAATTATCCCAAACGAAGAGCAACACCTCCACTGGATGCAAGCCGGCTTTAGGCACCTGTTCTGCACATTCACAACCTTAGTTCGTTTGCATCGAATGTTATCATAAATGATCCATTATTCATGGCCTGTGACAATTGTGTCCAGAAACGATTCCTTTTCGTTGGGTAGCAGAAAATGAATCGCCACAGAAACACGATCAAGCTTGTTCTGTTTTGTCAGAGTATGTGGCATCTACATGGCGAATTTGCAAACGAATCCAACTCTCTTCAAATGACGAGATTATCCATGATGACATGCGAAACGTTTTCATTGACGTCCAAAGGTTGCGTGGTTGATCGTTTAGGTTAAAATCACCCTGACGAAATCTACCAAACCACATTTTAAGCGTCTGAAGATCTGGAGCACGATCCAAATAACCCTCCTGAATGTTTTATTTTTTGCCGCAGTTCCGACGTTTATTCCTTTCTGGAATTCATTGAGCAGATGGTGTAAGTACAATTTTTCATCCTCCATCTTTAAGGCGTTCATTTGAGGACAAAACGTCAACATTGAACAAAGTCTGGCTCGTAGCTGAACAATGAAAAGTTTCAATCCTGAACACACCAAAAATCAGCACCAAAAACAAACGCCAAAATGTCAACTTCTGGTCATTTTATATTAACAATGAATATTAAACAAGAACTTTTTCAATGATCTCATAATAACGCCTCATTCCTGATACTCAAAAACAAAACGAGATATATCTATCGTAGGATAGATAGATAGATAGATAGATAGATAGATAGATAGATAGATAGATAGATAGATAGAAAATAAAAAGATATGTAGAGAGAGAAAGGAAGAAAGAGAAGGAAACAGAAAGAGAGGGAGAAAGAGAAAGAGTAATAATGAGAGAGAAAGTGGTGGAAAGTTATTCCCACAGAATGGGGACAAAACTTCTATTCACCCCGGGATGATTTTGAAATCTGAACAACCATGGCAATGATGGCACTAAATCATGCGCATACGATAAGATCTGTAGCAGAGCCTTTTGACAACATCCGACAACTACTGGTCATTTCATATTAACAATGAATATCGGACAAGAACTTTTGCAATGATCTAATAATTTAGTTAAGAAAATAGAAAAATAAAAATAAAAACAGATAAATTAACAGATAAATAATATGAATAATATGGAATACGTGAGAGAGTATGTGGATGAGCATCCAACGACATTATTCCTAAACATAGAAGTACCTGGACAGCCAAACAAGATCGTGTTCAGGGGTAGTTGAAATAACCGTATTTTGTAATGGGGGTGTAATATTATTCAGAATTAAACAGTGTATGCAATTTACTCGAGTCGTCAAAAGAAGTCAAATGTAGCGTTGAATTAAGATTATCCCCAACTTCTGAATTCAAAAGTACATCACCTCACATCTGTATCCTACATTGCAAGCGTGTGAACATAAATGTTGGAGAAATAAAAGTAGAGAAATATATTATTATTATATTTTTATTATAAGAGATTATACGAAAAACAATTTTGAAATCGTTACAGAAAAGTTTTCATGCTTCAATACTATGATTGTATTTCTCTAGGCGAGGGTATCGCCTGAAGAATCTAGTAGTATCATATATATATATATATATATATATATATATATATATATATATATATATATACAGGGTGTTTCAAAAGAATTGACATCATTTACAATATAAATACCTGAGTATGTGAAATTAATTGGGTTTATGTTGAACAATAAAAGGTTTCCCTACTTAAGTACCTCTTGGCTTGTAGGAAGAGAGGGAATATATACTTGTAATTTCACATATCCACCCCCCCCCAAAAAAAAGTCCCACAGTCAAGTCAGATTAACGTGGTGGCCATTTCAACAGTACATTGTTATTACCACTGCGACCTCGGATCCATCTTGTAGATTCTCAATGAGATAAATTCGCAGTCAACTTAATTTGTTTTTACCCATTTTGTTAATATTTAACATCATTTGAGCTAGAATTGGCTATGTTATTATACTACAAAATGATGTTTTTTTTTGGGGGGGGGGGTGTTTTGTTTTTTTGTCGAAACTCTTTATATAAACAATCACCCAAATGACGACTAGTCAGTCTCTCTTAGATATCACAGGAAAATTTGTGTCTTTCGGGTTAGGTCCTCATCTTCGACCTTGCCGCCAAGGTGGCTCTACCAGGAGTTTAGAACTCCTGACAACATCGCTTTCAGAGTCATTGGACAACGCAAGCTACTGCACCCATTTAATCAAGATCGATCTCTCCACAATTTCCTGTCCTTTGTAGCTCTTAATAAATGTTGTCTTTTTGTTATTTCAACTAAACCATATTCCGCCATCCATTTAATCAAACTAGATCCACTTATTCTATATGCCGTGTACTTTCAGGGCGTTGGCGATCATGGCTCTCCACAATTTCCTGTCCTTTGTAGCTCTTAATAAATATTGTCTTTTTGTTATTTCTCCTAAACCCTGTTCCGCCATCCATTTACTCAAGTTCGCTGAGTAGATTATGCATTGTTTTCCTCTGTCCATCCTGTCCTATGAGTATCAAATTTTCCAAGCCCTCTTTCTTTATTATTTGCCCTAGTAATTTTAACTCTTTCTGATGTTAAGTATAATTTTTCTTTTTGTTTCCGTTTACTTCATCGTTGCTAACCTATTAAATCTAATTCATCCTCATTTTCCTTTTGTAGAAGCACATTTCAGGACAATCTTATCAGAATTTATCGTCGATTAGGACTTTTATTAAAAGTTATTGTAGACTCGACATTTGTTAGAATCGAAAAATATGAACTTCTTATTACTTCAGAAAGGGAATCCTCCTCAAGATATAAATACAATATCAAATCGAATTCATAAATAGTGATTTGTGCATTTTATTTGATATGTCCCGGAAAGGGATATATTTGTTCAAAGTAGCAAAGTGGTTGTTGACTACTGTAACCGGGTAGGACAATTTAGCAGGTAACCATAATGGACTGGTCCTCGTCATAGTGGTAGGCAATAGGTGAAGACAATAGGCGAAAACACTAGGCGTAGTTCATGTACCTCCACATCAGTCTGTATTTATTTCTGACACCAGCCAATCATATTACTGGGGAACCAAGGTGTATGCATATTCATTACATCAGTATTTATTTACAATTTACAAATGTCAAGTTTGAAACTGTACTGAAGTCACTGATCTACTATTACGAATTAGCAAATAGTGCAACATTAACGTAATTACAGTTTCAAACTTAGCATTTGGAAATTGTAAATAAACACAAAGTACAGATAACTATTTAAGAAATCAAATATATTATATGAGATTTTAATCCGTCCAGTAGCCGCATGGGGACAATTCTCCATAGATTTGCGACCACTTATAAAATTGACGACACCTCTACAGGGGATACAGAAGTAGGTATACAGTAATGAAAACCAAAACATGCGCACAGAACTTATTGTATTGATTACCTACTTTTAAGAATTGTATTGTTTTACTTACGGTACACCTACTTTTGCAATCCCCTTTTGTACGACGCTTGGGATTTACTCTGTAACTTTTGGCACGTCAGTGTATATCACTCCACGTTCCTGTAAAAAATAAAGTCATTAAGTATCTACGTGTGTATATCATGTCTCATAAAACACCGAGATTTAAACTGTTACTTAGTCTCTCTTCATGTCTAGGTATTTTATAAAGTAAATGGATAATCTGAAAGAAACTGACCCACCACACTTAACCCGCCTTTAACTTGGTGAATGCCGCCGACCGATTTGCAATTTAGACCCATTAGACCGTAGGGGCGAAGAAAAAATATGTTTACTTCGCGAGAAATCAGCAATTAAAGACTGCAATACATAAAAAAAAAAAATTTTTCTCTACCAAATCGCATTTCACACGTGTAACATTTGAGGTGGGGTGGGAATGAAATTATGTTTGATTAAATCGACAATGCTAATTCTGCACCATCACTCATAATGTAACATTGTGGGTAGACAATAAATTAATGCAATTTAAAGTTCAATATAATAAGGAAAAATGCTCATCTAAGTGATAAACAACCACTTTGTTAGAAAAATGTCGTATTGTTCAAATACAATATATTTGACAGAGCCAGTTGACAGTCACAAGTCCCGCGACAGAATGACCGTAAAAACAAAACGAAGTCTTTTCATTGGTCTTTACGAATAAGAAACGGGAAACAGGGTCATATTTCCATTTAAAAAAATAGTTCCTCTCTCTAATTTTTTCAGTACGTTTTTTTTTGTCTTGGTAATAGGCAGATGTCCTATAAAAATAAGAAGGTTGGGGTATGAAAGTTCTCTCAGTTATCTTGCTATCTCCATTCACTGACAAGTAGTCGGCAATATTTCCCTGCCAGAATCGATAAAAGATATGTCCATACACCCAAGCGTTATGCCATTTACTGTGAACAACAAACCTGTCACACGGTGAAAAGATAAGTTCGGATTTTCAGTGAGATATCAAAACGGTGCAACTTTGGCGTATTGGTCGGGAGACAACCGATTCGACCCAATGAGAAGCAAGGACCGTAGCCCGAGCTACAGAATATTTAGTGGAATAATGACAAATACTGTCCTAATCCAGAACTGATTACTTGGAGCAATCCGCTTTCATAAATAGAAAAGCTTTTAAAGAAGACATTTGTTGAAAGGGCGATTCTGAGAAAATTAGAAGCCCTAGCAGGATTGATTAATGGTGGCCACAATCTCAGCAACATATAAGATATGCAAATGATACAGTTTTGATAGCATAGTCCTTCTTCTTTTATGTGCCTTGTCCCTTCAGGACGTAGGCGATCATGGCTCTCCACCTCATCCTGTACCTTGTAGCTCTTAATAAGTTTTGTCTTTGAATGGAAATTACAGGAACTCCAACAGAAAGTATTAAAGAAAAGCGCGAAGAAAGGACTAAACATCAATTGTAAAAAGATAGAATCTATGGTTGTCAGGAAAAAGGAGATGAAAACATCAAGCTCAAGAAAAATACAATCATTTCAATATCTAGTAAGAAGACAGTAAATGTGGTACCGAAATCCGAAGACGCGAAGCCAAAGATGCTTTCCAAAAGCTAAACAAAGTATTAAGAAACAGGAAAATTTCGTTAACAACAAAGAAAAGAGTACTGAACTCTTACGTAATCAGTCCTCCAATATGGCGTTGAAGAGTGGACAATCTCCTCACAGCTAATAAAAAACTTGATGTAATAAATGTGGTTCTACAGAAGGATACTGGGAATACCATAGACTTAACATATGAGCAACGACGATATTTTAGGGGAAAATAGAAACAAAAAAAAACACTTTTATTCGAATCAGAAAAAATAGTTCAAATTTCTGGGGGATATAACGAGAAAAATAGGTTCGGAAAATTTGATACTCACATGATATAATGAAGCCAATGGAGGTTAGAGAAAATTAAACCAGTAACCAACCTGTCTTGCTTGTGGTTGGCAGAACAGGAACGTCCTAAGAGATACAAAAGACAGAAAGAGAATTGGAGAACAATTCTCGCCAACGTCGTGAAGGAACACGACATACAAAAGTAGACAACGTTAACAATATAAGACGCTCATAGGTTTTGATGGCAGATACAAAAAAACCCCTAGACAATGAAGTAAAAGAAAGGCAGAAGAAAGGCATAAACATCGACTTTAATAGCAAGACAGTAGAGTTTTCAGCGAGATGCAAGCTACAAATGGGTGATGGTAAAATCAAGCAAATACAAAACTTTCGCTCTCTTTGACAAATGGCGAAAAGTGTGGCTTCGAAATCCGAATACACATGGATATAGAGAACGATGCCTTCTTATAGCGAAGTAAAGTATTAGGAAATATGAAAAGAAAGCAAGAAGAACGGACTTAGCATCAAATCCTTTTAGAATATGATGCAATATAATAATGCATGTTCTCATTTAACTAGAGAGTCCTGGGTATGACGAGAAACTACATCCGGCAGCAAGCCCTCTGATCGGGTATTGGAGGTTCTCAGAAGTATGGAAGCACCTCTTGATTGCTGTTGTTCCCAGGTCGATCTTGACCTGGCGTGGTTGCACCTGTTAGGGTCTCAACTATGGGGAAATAGTGACCGCACACCAACACCAAAAAAAAAAAAATCGGAAATTATAAAAGTACATATAATAAACCTACCAGCAATAAATTAATCAACATGAAAGAATTCATTTGTGACATTAATCCATATGTCCTACAATTTCTTAAATCAAACTGTATTTCAAAATATAACTTCAACAAAACTACAACATAAAACACCATGTCTAGTAATTATGTCCACTCAAACATGTATATGCACAAAAGCTGATTATCATCTGTCATGTATTCAATTGGGAAAACAGAATAACATTTGTATTACTTCAACTCTCCCAATAAAATTAAATTTCGATATTAAATGACGCATAAGGTGTTGATGTGCCGTTACACAAAAAACATCAAAGCAAATAAAGCAAACCTTAGAGAACAAGATGCTTTGCCAGGATTTATTATTGTTGGGCATAATGTTAACAAAAGTTCCACGGAATCCCCCGTGTTGAGAGAGACGGAAGGAAAGCTGATCCCCGTGTTCAGAGACACGGAAGGAAACGTGATTCCCCCGTGTTGAGATAGAAGGAAGGAAAACTGATTCCCCCGTGTAGAGAGAGACGGAAGGAAACTTGATTCCCCCCGTGATGAGACAGAAGGAAGGAAAACTAATTCCCCGTGTTGAGGCAGACGGAAGGAAAATTGATTCGCCCGTGTTGAGATAGACAGAAGGAAAACTGATTCCCTCGTGTAGAGAGAGACGGAAGGAAACTTGATTCCCCCATGTTGAGGCAGACGGAAGGAAAATTGATTCCCCCGTGTTGAGGCGGTGGGAATGAAAATTGATTCTCCCGTGTTAAGAGAGACGGAAGGAAAGCTGATTGACCGTGTTGAGACAGACGGATGGAAAATTGATTCCCCTGTGTTGAGGCAGACGGAAGGAAAACTGATTCCCCGCATGTTGAGGCAGACGGGAGGAAAATTGCTTACCCCGTGTTGAGACAGACGTAAGGAAAACTGATTCCCCCGTGTTGAGACGGACGGAAGGAAAATTGATTCGCCCGTGTTGACATAGACGGAAGGAAAACTGATTCCCCCGTGTTGAGACAGACGGAAGGAAAAATGTTTCCCCTGTGTTGAGAAAGACGTAAGGAAAACTGATTCCCCCGTGTAGAGAGAGACGTAAGTAAAACTGATTCCCTCGTGTTGAGACAGACGTAAGGAAAACTGATTCCCCCGTGTTGAGACGGACGGAAGGAAAATTGATTCGCCCGTGTTGAGATAGACGGAAGGAAAACTGATTCCCCCGTGTAGAGAGAGACGTAAGTAAAACTGATTCCCCCGTGTTGAGACAGACGGAAGGAAAACTGATTCGCCCGTGTTGAGATAGACGGAAGGAAAACTGATTCCTACGTGTAGAGAGAGACGGAAGGAAACTTGATTCCCCCGTTTTGAGGCAGACGGAAGAAAAATTGATTCCCCCGTGTTGAGGCGGTGCGAATGAAAATTGATTCTCCCGTGTTGTGAGAGACAGAAGGAAAACTGATTACGCCGTGTTGAGGCAGACGGAAGGAGAATTGATTCCCACGTGTTGAGACGGAGGGAAGGAAAATTGATTCCCTCGTGTTGAGAAAGACGGATTGAAAACTGATTCCCCGTGTTGAGCAGATGGTAGGAAAACTGATACCCCGTGTTGGGACAGACGGAAGGAAATTTGATTCCCCGTTTTGCGACAGACGGAATGAAACTGATTCCCCGTGTTGGGACAGACAGAAGGAAAATTGTTTCCCCATGTTGTGATAGCCGGAAGGAAAACTGAATCCCCATGTTGGGACAGATGGAAGGAAATTTGATTTCCCGTGTTGAGACAGACGGAAGGTAAACTGATTCCCCCGTGTTGAGAGATGCGGAAGGAAAACTGATTCCTCCGTCTTTAGGCAGACGGAAGGAAAATTGATTCCCCCGTGTTGAGACAGACGTAAGGAAAACTGATTCCCACGTGTTGAGGCAGACGGAAGAAGAACTGATTCCCCCATGTTGAGGCAGACGTAACGAAAACTGATTCCACCGTGATGAGACGGACGGGAGGAAAATTGATTACCCCGTGTTGAGAGAGACGTAAGGAAAACTGATTCTCCCGTGGTGAGACGGACGGAAAGAAAATTGATTCCCCCATGTTGAGGCAGACGGAAAGAAAACTGATTCCCCCGTCTTTAGGCAGACGGAAGGAAAATTGATTCCCCCGTGTTGAGAAAAAGAAAACTGAAAAATTTAGGCAGACGGAAGGAATATTGAGAGAAAGAAGTAAGGAAAAATGATTCCCCCATGTTGAGAGGCGGGCAGACGGAAGGAAAATTGATTCCCCGTGTTGAGGCAGACGGAAGGAAAAATGATTCCCTCGTGTTGAGGCAGACGGAAGGAAACTTGATTCCCCCGTTTTGAGACAGACGTAAGGAAAAAAGATTCACCCGTGTTGAGACAGAAGGAAGGAAAACTGATTCCCCGTGTTGAGACGGACGGAAGGAAAAATGATTACCTGTATTAAGGGGGACGGAAAGAAAATTGATTCCCCCGTGTTAAGAGAGACGGAAAAAAAACTGATTACGCCGTGTTGAGGCAGACGGAAGGAGAATTGATTCCCACGTGTTGAGACGGAGGGAAGGAAAATTGATTCCCCGTGATGAGAAAGTTGGAAGAATAACTGATTCCTCGTGTTGAGACAGACTGAGAGGAAACTGTTTCCCCGTGTTGGGACAGACGGAAGGAAAATGGATTCCCCGTGTTGGGACAGACGGAAGGAAAATGGATTCCCCGTGTTCGGACAGATGGAAGTGAAACTGATTCCCCGTGTTTAAAAAGATAGAATGAAAACTGATTCCCCGTGTTGGGACAGACGGAAGGAAAATTGTTTCCCCGTGTTGAGAAAGAAGCTAGGAAAACTGATTCCCCGTGTTGTGACAGATGGAAGGAAAACTGGTTCCCCGTGTTGAGGCCGACTGAATGAAAACTGATTTCCCGTGTTGAGACAGACGGATGGATAACTGATTTCCCGTGTTGAGACAGACGGAAGGAAAACTGATTTCCCGTGTTGAGTCAGACGGAAGGAAAACTGATTTCCCGTGTTGAGACAGACGGAAGGATATTTGATTCCCCGTGTTGAGACAGACAAGGATAACTGATTTCCCGTGTTGAGTCCGACGGAAGGAAAACTGATTTCCCGTGTTGAGACAGACGGAAGGATATTTGATTCCCCGTGTTGAGACAGACAAGGATAACTGATTTCCCGTGTTGAGTCCGACGGAATTAAAACTGATTCCCCCTGTTGAGACAGACGTTTGGACAACTGATTCACCGTGTTGAGACAGACAGTTGGAGAACTGTTTCCCCGTGTTGAGACAGAGGGAAGGAAAACTACAGGCTGACAAAGCTATAAATGAAAGAATGAAGAAAATCATCAAACAATTTTAAAAAGTGACGTAAAACAAATAAACTTCTTATCCCTGAATTTATTCAACCTATACAGCAAGGCCATATTAAGTGGACTAGAAGTCCTACTGGGATTTATTCTTGGTGGGTATAATCTTAATGATATGCAGATGACACTATTTTGATGTAAACAGAACGAAAAATACGGGAACTCTTTGACAACGTCATACAGGTAATCATGAAAGAATGATTAAGCATGAAATGCTTTTAGAAAGAACTTAATACTGGGTGCCCCAGAATTAAAATCTTTTTCAATGAAATCGGACAATTTAAAAATAATTCACTTTTATTTCTGTTAACATCTAAATAAAGAAAATGGCAAATTCTGTCTGTCCGTCCACGTATCTGAAATCACTCTTATTCGGTCTAAACTTGCTCTACATAAACATATATATTTTGCAATCAGGATGATCCCCCGATTGAAAATCTGTCCTTCATCTTGTGCATGAAAGTCATGTATTGAGATTTGTATTCGGATGAGTAGTGAACATTTAAAAATTCAAATTTGAAAATAGCTGAAATACATTAGTGATTTTAAAAGTTTTTAATTTATATTGAGCTTAAAGTAATCCAAAATTTTGTGAATTAAAAAAATGTTTTAAATTTAGTTTAAAATACTTCCAACACTTTGTGAATTGAGGAAATCAATTTTATTTATCAATTTGATTTCTTTAGAATGCTAAGAAATCAGTTAACGTGAGAGGTTTCATGACGTGTCGTTTTGAAGGTCCGCATAGTTTGGGATTTAAAGAACTCAATTTTCAGCCTGAGTTGGAATTTCGACCTAACATGATTTTCGATCAAAATCGGTCTTTTGGTCGGAATTGGATTTATAGCCGGAATCAGAGTTAAAGGTTTTGAAGTTCCATGGAGTGAATTGAAGAATTCAAAGTTATTTCTTCAAAATTATCATTGCTGTTTTCTAAGCTGGACTAGAGGTCGCTCTTGTTTTAGGTCGGAGCTAGCATAAAAGTCCGTACAGTTTTGGACTTTTTAGCTAGTATTTTATATGTGTTAGAAGTGTATAAATTTCTACTTTTATTTATAACTTTATGATTTTTTGTTTATTCATTCAGAACCCTATCAATAGTAATAGACAAGAACGCATCTTTGTTGACACTTCTGGATTTCTTTGCAAGTTGTTTCATTTTAAGAAGGAATTTTTTATTAATACGACAGATTTTTATCAGTTTGAACTCTATTTTTAGTGGATGCTCGTATTTGAATAGACGATCCGTTTATTTATTTTCGTCTACTGACCTAAATGTTCAAGGAACCATATTGAAGAAAGAGTTACGCAGTTTGGCAGGATTCGAACTTGTCTCCCTCTGGACAGAACAAGCTATCTTTAAATCCGACACGCTCTGACCAAATGAGCTAAGAAGTACCAATTATTCAGGTAATGTCGGATTTTTTATCTTTAAGCGAAACTTCTCTCGTCATAGATCGCCTGATTTTTTTTTCATTTCTGGACAGTTTCGTATGCAAACGTAAACAAGGATTCTCTGCAAGTAAGATAAGTCTTTTTCACCGTTGTGGCATCTCCCAAGTATGAGTCTAATTAAGACTGACGGGAAGAGAGATAAAAGAACCCTATATATATATGCAGCAGAGGGAAACGGGGGATTATGGGAGATAGCTATGTACAATGAGAGAAATACTTCAACCGGACAAATTGTTTGTAATACACAAATGATGTTTAAAACGCGGCATTCCACACTCAGTGAACCATTCTCATTACCTTGGTACTCCATTGCTGAGATCTAAGTTCCACTCGAACAGCTTCTTCCCACGAATTGCTGCTTTGTGGAAGTGACTCCCAAGACGATACTTCCTTGATTACTGCAATCTTAATCTGTTCAAGTCTATGGTCAATCGTTATCTTCCGCACGTATCTTTATAAAAAAGTGTCTTTTACTCTGTATCCTTCTACCTCGAGTGGCTCCTGGGCCTTTTACTGGGTGAAAATCATGGTAAAAAATGGCGTAGTATAGATCGCAGAAAAAAGGGCACCCACAAATATAGGTCAATTTTTCTTTCCTATATAAAACTTTTCCCTCTCAGTATTGTTTTATATATCGAAATAAGAGCGGTCTTGCCCGACACGGAGAATAAATGAGGAATTATATTTTTCAATAGTTTCCTATTTGCTTTTCTTTTCTTTTTTCTGTTAATGGGTTGTGAAAGTAATACATTCTAGAATTATAATGTAATATAATGTATATAAAGTATAAAGTATAATGTATATATAATGTATATAAAGTAATACATTCTAGAATTATAATGTGTTTTCTTTTACAGACGTTCTCGCGGAAAAAATAAAACTTTAGAAGTTATCTCCTAAATATTTCACAGTGAGCCGTGAAACGCAATAAAACACTCATACCTGTCGGCAGATATCAGAAACTCAACTCCACAAGATGTACTTAGAACAAGACGGATCATTCGCAGAGGACATATCTGTTAATGAATGTTTCAGTTCTCACGTTAATCATTAGTCTGCATTTTAGCGGAATCTCCACTTCATTACAAACGATACGTTAAACCAATGGTTCTCAACCGGGGTCTACATGGACCCCTAGGGTCCATGTAATATTTCCGGGGGTCCACAGGCAAAACACAATTGTTGTGTTAATTAAAAATAGTAATAATAATTATTATTATAATTATAGTAGAATATTTTATTTGTATTAAATTAGTTTTCATTTAAAAATAAAGCTTAATCGTATACTATTTCTTTGATAATTAAAACCTTAAAATTTATATTAGTGAAGAATAGAAAATTGTTCTTATGTCCAATAGCTATGAAGGGGTCCACCAAGATAAAAAGAAGGGAAAGGGGTCCATGGGTAAAAAGGTTGAGAACCACTGCGTTAAACGGATCCGACACACACAAACACAATATATATATATATATATATATATATATATATATATATATATATATAATATATAATAGCAGGTCACTCGTATTCAATTGCAGACGCTCGGTCAGACACATTTGTGTTTGTTCAACACCCGCAGAGACAACCTGTGGTTTATACTGCAATTATGGTGAGCAAACATTAATTACAGTTTCTGGGAGAAAGCGTGTTATCTAGCGTGATCAACAATCTGAACAAAGCCAGCACACTCAAACCCTCGGTCACGATGACTTGTGACTTCGTGCTAATACAACTATCGACGGCCCCCAAGGGTTCCATCTATCGAATTTCACTCACAAGACTTGGATCAACTCGTGGTATAATTTTCAGGCACTTTCCAAAACTGCCGGACGCTGGGATCGCCCCCTCTAGACCGATAACATCAGGAAGTCTGCTTCCTGACAAATCAACCGTTGGGATATATATATATATATATATATATATATATATATATATATATATATATATATATAAATGTCAGTCAAAACCTTCGTTATTTGTTTAATGTTACAAAGGACGAGGAATGTTTTGGCTTTATATTGCATCTTTTATTACTTCTGGCAAAATATCCAAAAAATTGGGAAGTTATAATGTCCCCATGCATTTCATGAAATTTAAAAATCAACATATTTCATTTATTCCATTTAACATTGAATGTAGAAGAAAATAAGCAATATTTTCAACAAATTATGCTTTTTTTTATTTTGAGAAAAATAAAACTACGACAGAAATTATATATATATATGCACTCTGTGAAGAAGGTATACTGACTATTCTAATATGTCAAAAGTGGTTTGAAAAGATTTGTGCTGAAGATTTCATGCTAAAAATGTTCCACAGCCGGAGGGACCAATTGAGATTCATAGAAAGTAAATCAAGAAATTACTTTGGAATAATAAATGTTGTAAGCCACATTTTCACATTATACAAATCAAGAGCTCAAAATTGCTTTGTACAAGTTTGTTTGTATTGGTCGCTATGACGTGTAACTTGCACATTATCAAGAACAGCCCAACTGGGCCATATTTCTTTATCCGATACTCAAAATAAACGTTACTTCTTTTCGTTTTATATAATGATAAAAAGTGGATACAGAAATAGGAACGTAAGTTATTGAACTGGTCTTCTTTTATGTGCAGTGTACGTTAAGGATATGGGTGATAATGGCTCTTCACAGCTTCCTATTCTTTGTAGCTCTAGTTAAATCTCTACCCTCCAGTCACACAAATAAAGAGATTGGTCACTTGCTGTTTCCTAATTCTGATGTGTTGTAGAACCACAATGACTACAAGAGGAGAGACATGACATAGCAGTCTAGCACTTTTCTATATGTCAACTAATTGTATATTGAAATGTGCATTAAATGCATACCTTGTATATGTTTAGATAAACCATATGTCTGGGCATGGGCAAGATCATCCCGTTTCAAGGAGTTTGTCTGATACCTTCTTCTTCTTCTATTTGTCGTGTCCCAAACTATGTAACGTTGGCGATAAAGTCTCTCCACAACTTCCTATCCTTTATATCTCTAACCAATATTCATCACTCTAATATCCCTCTCAGTCCATGTTGTGATATCCATTCATATAAAATCGTAACGTAGAAGGACTCGATGTTTCCTTAGTCACCCTTTATGTCAGCATGTTCTGTGAGTGTCAAATTCTCCAAGCCTTTTTCCTCATTATGTCTCTTAAAAACTTCAGCTTTCTGATTATAATTTTGGTCTTTTTTGTCCTTTTGACTCCCCTTCTCCTTAAATCCTCCTCGTTGCTAACATGTTCTCTTCATGATATACTCAGCGTTCAACATCTCTGTTGCCTTAATTATAAGTGTCCTTTTTGTTAGCCTTTTCCATAAAACTTCCTTATTGCTTACATGTTCTCAGAGTTCTTCTATAGATTCACATCTCTGTTGCCTCATATCTGTGGATTTTTTAGAATGATTGATATTACAGATGCTAAACCCTTTTTTTTTTGCATTATTTCTAATTTTCCTGTTTCTTAATACTCTGCTTAGTATTTGGAAGGGATCTTTCACTAATCCAA